TTTCCATGGCTTCCATGGCGGGAAAAAGAACAAGGAGGAAGCAGTGGGTAAAGATTGTTTTGCATCCTAAGGAGGAGGCACTAGCATTTTATAGGAGTTAATCATTTATTAAATAACTATAGTAATCTTCATAGAAGAAGCAAAAGGGGATGTAGCTCAAATGGTAGAGTGCTTGCTTTGCATGCGAAAGGCACGGGGCTCGCTTGGCACGATAATTTAAAACTTGATAATACGATAATACGTTGTTACCGTAAAGAATTCGGCTGTGCCCTCAAATTTTAATTATTTGTTCTGACATATTTTCTAAAAAAAGATAAGTAAAAATTAAGACGTTTTACCACTTTTAATGTCATATTTTTTATAAAATTATTTAAATATCTTTAATAAATCTTTTGTGTGTATTAATTCATTATGAGTAGTTTAACTTTTTCATTATTATTCCTGGTAATTAAAATGCTGGAAAATCTTAATTTTTCTTATTCCCTAACCCTCAAATTATTTGTTGCTCCTCACTTCATCACAAAATAATTGTCATATTTTCATTTTAAATTTGTCACAAATTAATTGTCTTTTTTTATTTTTTAAAATAAACTTTTTTTTTTTACTTTAACCATGTCGTTATCATTTTACTAATTTAATTATTATCCTATCATAAAAAGTTTTTTATATTTTATTTTTTTAAAGAGTAATATAAGTAAAACACATAAATTGTTTTCAAATTCTCAATTTTAAAAAATAAAAATAAAAAACAACATTTATTTTGAAATAGAAAGAGAGACAGAAAGATAAAATGTTTTAGAGTTACAATCTACTTACATATATATTATATATATAATTTTAATTATTTATTTTTTTATTATAAAATTAAAATTTATTCACTTTTTATATTCTTTTTTAAAGATAACTATCTTATTATCAAAATTTTATATAAATACTATATGTAAAAATAATATCTATAATAAATCTTAAGTTAATGCTTTGACATTTTTTAACAATATACGTACCAAGTTAAACATCATAGACTCATTTACCCAAAAAAAAAAAACGTCAGAGACTCACAGGCCCAATAATACCATCATCGTCTACAACTCCATGCTATCAACTAAAACAATTCGGTCCAAATCCCTCACGGGCCTAGCAGGTACTTAAGCCGAGATCCAAGCGATGTCCTCTCAAAAACTTAAGCAATGGGCCGCCAAAAATGAAGAAAAAAAAAAAAAACAATTTGATAGTTATAATATCATAAAATATTGTTTTGCAAAATGTTGTTTTCTTTACCAATGATTTGTTAGTTCGACTGAAAAGAGTTTGGTTTTTTTTGAATAAAATCTCAAATTCAAATCTTGTGAATGTGGAAACAAGTGTTGGAGAACTTCTCCACTTATGGAGTTTGATCTAACTCAATTATGAATTAATTGAGATTCAATATGACTTTCAGAAATTGGGGGGTTACTACCAAAAAAATAGATTGTAAATTTATCATTATAATATTGTTATAAAATTCTCAAATGTGTGAGATTTCATTAATTGGTTATTTTAATTTAATAAAACATATTGACTTGATAATCTAAAATATTAAGACATTTGTGAGAAAGTTCAATTATTATGATCAATTTGTATGGGCTTAAAATATCTTGTGGAGATGATATGGAAAACTTCACCAACCACTACGGGCTTAAAATATCTTGTGGAGATGATGTGGAACACTTCAACAACCACTATATATGAAGGGTTTTTATAGCTTTTTCTTAAGAATATAGATTAAAAGTATAATTATTACACTTTTTTTTATATTTATTAGTATTAAAAAAAAATAAAAATTAAACTCTATGTAGGTAATTGTCTAATAAAATAATTCGTATGGCACTAATAATAAAATTAATAATATAAATACTTAGATTGCTTAATTTGGGCCATATGTCAAAAAAAATCTGTCAATTTTTCTTATTTAATGTTGAGAAAAAGGAAGATTAAAATTAATATAGTGTTTTTAAAAATTTCTTAATATTCATTCTCTTTAATATGGGTACATACAACTTTTTGAAAAAATGTTCTTGTCAATTACTAAACATAATCTCTTACCAAACTATAATTACTTAATTAATTTTTTTTTTACTAAAAGTCATAATAAAATTTAAGAGTTAATAAAAAATAAAAAAAATTCGAACTTTGACATGAAAAATAAAAGAATAAATGTGCAATGCCTAAATAAAAAAAAAATAATCTATAAAAATATAATTTCTCACTAATTTTTTTTTATTTTAGCGTGAATGACTTTGGTGTTTTTATTCTACCTATCGCACAAACCGCCCTATAAGAAAAAGTCATCAACTTTGACCAGGCATGAATTTCCATGTCTTATTATACATGTGACTATTTGCGTAGGCATCACATGAGCAGTGCATTCAATGCTATCAGGACCTTTAATATCTTGTCATTGAGCAGACAAGGACTTCCCTGTATGGGGTGTTTTCTTTGGTTTGAACAGTGAGATGCTTTTTTGAACTAATATAGTCTCATCTCAAGATTAATTCTTTGGCTTTTTTGGGAGTCATGCCAAGCATCAAAACCAAATGCTGTATTATCTATCAATTAGATAGCTAAATGAGGTTAGAACTTGAAGAAGTGGGTCCTTGAAATGAAGTTTCCAGGTTGATTCCAAAGGAAGGCGTGAGCTGAAGAACAACCCTTCAAATCTTCAATAGTCTTTTTTTTTTTTTGGAATTACTTTAATAAGACAACAAGAGGTTCTAATTGTCAAATTGTTAAAAAATCAAGTTGAAAAATATGAATATGAGATACCTTGATTCGTCCGCAGGTTGCATTTAGATAACATGATACTGCCTTTTACTATAAACAAACCCCATGACAAAGGAAATTGTTAGGTTCTCTTTGTTTTTTGATGATAATTTAAAATCATAATTCAAAAGAGTTTAATATATTTTTGTGTTAAGTGTGCAGGAAAATTAATCCAAGGTTTCTAATCTTTCCCTATGATTAGAATTAATTCTTGTTCCTCCTTGTTCAGAGTTCTGGGTTCGAACCAATTTATTTTGGTTCGAATCAATCTCGGACTTTTGTTTTCTGAAAATGGTTCAAAGCAATATTTTTGGCTTCGAAGCAAAAATTCTGGAAGGGTAAATTTTGACAGCTCAATTATCCGTTTATTCTTATTCTCAATGGGCCTTGGAAGAACCTTTGTCTAAGCACTTTCCAAAGTCAAGTCAAAAATAATAAAGTGAGGTAGAATCTAATTGGAGCTTTTGTGAGGTGGCTTTGAAGGTCTAAATAGGCAATTAATGGCAAGGCCCCCAACCAATTATTAAAACACCAAAAATCAGATCTGGACAAAGAGAAGAGGGACGAACTGCTACAGAAACAAGAGTTTGAAACAGCTTTGGGTTTCCTTTTTCTTCTTCTTGTAAGCTTTTGGGTATATTGCCTTACAAGGGTTTTTGTATTTTTCTTAGATTGGGTTAATTTTTGAAGGGGTTGAGTGAGTTGAGATTCACTTGTGAGGGTTTAATCTTGCATCCGCAAGCAAGAGGTTGTTCCGGTTTAATCTTGCACCCGTAAGAGATTTCTAGTGGATTGAACTCTCGAGCAAGGAGGGTTGGGGAGTGGACGTACTCCGGGTTGGAGGAACCATTATAAATCACGGCTTGATATTCTCTTCCTTTTCTTTTTATTTTTCTGCACTTTATTTGCAAGATTACAGTTGGTTTTTGTTTTATTTTGCATAACAGATTATACATATATATTGAAAACTTCATTCACGGTTTTATAAAGGAATAGAATGAGTTTTATATCTTAGGAATTGGCTTGGGGTAACTGCTGGGATTACAGAAATGATGGGGAAGTACTAGCTAGTACCATACTATAATCGTCCAGTAAACAGATTAACATAGACTTAGACTTTTAGTGGTTTTATTAAGAAACTTACGCTTTGAAAATGACTTGAACAGCACAGCGAAGTCCTTGTTTGCGGGCATTGAGATTGATTTGATATATTATCTTAATGTAAGTATTAATAAGTTGAGATATATTATTAGAATTATATACGGATTTAGAATTTAATTATTGGTCATTACATATTAAGAAAAATAATGTTTTTGATGATGCCTTGTCTCACTGACAGAAGGATAAACAGAGTTTATGATAGATCTTTTTCAGAAAAAAAAAAAAGGGATAAATGAAGTTTATGAGAGATCTTGGATTCGAATTTGCTATGTCTCCACACCACACGGTTTTGTTTTGGAATATTGGGTTATTCCTTCCTTTTATGCTTGTTCCAACACACTCTTGAAAAATATGAATATGAGATGCCTTGATTCGTCCGCAGCTTGAATTTAGAGAAAATGATACTTAACCGCCTTTTACTATAAATAATCTCCATGACAAAGGAAATGATGGGGTAAGTACTAGCTAGTACTATACTATAATCGTCCAGTAAACAAATTAACAAAGACTTAGACTTTTGTTGGTTTTATAAAGAAATTACGCTTTCGAAATGACTTGAACAGCAGAGTCTTTGTTTGCTGGTATTGATATTGATTTGATATATTATCTTGATGTAAAGCATTAATAATTTAGGATATATCGTTAAAGATATTTGTATTTTTATTCATAGATTTAAAATTTAATTACTGATCATTACATCTTTAAAAGAAGACAATGCTCTTGATGATGCCTTGGCTCACTGATAGAACGATAAACAAAGTCTATGAGAGATCTTGGATTCGAGTTTGTTATCTCCATACCATACGGTTTCGTTTTGGAATATTGGGTTTTTTCTTCCTTTTATGTTTGTTCAAACGCACTCTTGAAAAGGTCTTGTAAATGAAGTTTCCTTGTAAATTCTGTTTGTTGAATTTTGATCTTGAATGATTTTCTTGCAGAACACATGAATTCAATGTAGATTTCCATTGACTCAGAAATTTAAAATAAAAATTTTCAACTGCACACCCCAAATGGAGGCTAATCCTTCCTTGAATACCCCAAATGGACAAAGAGAAGTTTTCTTTTTTTTACATTTTATTTTTTAAAAGAGTAATATAAGTAAAACACATAAATTGTTCCCAAATTTTTAATTT